TCTGGCACAAAGCATTTGGATTGAAAGTGCAACTCTGTAATGTGGCCGCTAGATGTCAGTCTTGTACTTACGTGGGCTCCTGTTCGTCCTCCATCGACGAGGACGTTGGAGAGGAGAGGTAATCATGAATATCTCTGGGCAATGCGTGAACATATAAATACAAGGTTCACGCATTATACAAATAATAATATCAATAATAACAATACTGCTTACGTTTCTGTCTATGGTTGCGGCATACACTATTTACAGTAGTCTCAAATCTCACTGTTATATTCCTACATTGAGCAGATTGACTTTATGCTGACAATAAAAGCCCATGAAACATCAGGTATACTTTCGTAACCTGTGGTGAAACTTGAACGATTAGGACCATCTGGGCGCAAAACATCGGCTGAGGGGCCATATGAGAGGCTAAGGATGATGTTGTGCATGTACTTTGCATTGGACCCATCCTGCAATGTCACTTGGGGGTCTCAGGAGCAGTGGTGCGCTGGGGACTCATCTCCAGATGTTGATGCTCGGCTTGGTCAGGACTAGAGCTGGGGGATATTGCCTATTGTGCATGTTTTAGTGGCAAGGGAAGTCGGAGCACCAGGAGGAAACTTACCCAGACACGATGAGAAGATGCAAACTCCACTCAGAAAGGTCTTGTTCCAACTGGGATTCGAACCCAGGACCTTGTCGCTGATCAGCACCACCCACCGTACAAAATAGATAATAAAAGACACATACACAAGATGATCTCTTGGTCATTTTTGTAGTATATATTAATAATCTTTACATCATTCAAACAAATACCAATGGAAACGTCAGCTAACAGATCGTTTATTGTCAGAAATGTTAAGCAGCAGCGAGTACATAGTTCTGCCCATTCAAAGCAATTTTTTGTAGAATGCTGCATCTTCTTTTGGTCACATTTGATATTGTTATTACTTTTGAAACATAGACTAGGCTTGTGGCTCCACAGAGATATTCTTTATTGCATAAAGCATAAACAAACATGGATTCTAATAGACATTATAAAGAAAGACCTCATAATAATTTTCTGTCATGATTCTCACTTACATTGATTTACAGTGCTGTTTTTCAATAGGTAAAATGATGAAAAAAAGTGTATATTCAGTGCTAAATCAAATTCACATAAGGTGGGAAATCCTTCTGTGTCACTGGTTCAAGTCGTCTCTTCCAGCTCAGAGACTCGTGTTATTCCCAGGTGCCTCTGCCCTGTGGGGTTTGTTCAGGAAGCATCCAGCTGATCCAAGCGCTCATGTGGTTATATCTCAATATACCGATGGGAGAAGTTTGCCAAGGTATCTCTTTCTTCACCACAAAAGGAAAATTTGCCTTACTCGCCAGAAACTCTCTGCGAAGGTCTTGCTCTTAAGAATATTCTCACAAGAAATCACCTCACAGACAGATGACTTAAAAGAAAGAATTAGATCATGAATTTATCTTCTTGGCCAGAAACCTTGCATTTGATTCCAAACTGTCTCAGCCAATGTGCCGCCAAGAGCCATTCAAAAATATATAATAAACAATGAGAATTATTTGCAGTGTATTCTTCCACGAGACTTTAAAACAATGTCTATTACACAAGTGAACATAATGGATGCATTTCTTGAAACAGCTCCGTTGGCAGCAGCAGAGATGACTGTAGAGAAGGACCGAAAATGAACAAACTTGTCACAAAGAACAACATATAGAATCCATTGTATTAAACGATAGAAACCAGGTTTACGGGAAAACTTCTTTGTTATTCTTCCCAATATCATTTCAATTCAGACAGTTTAAATGTCCTCTCACAGTGCATGTACATTTCGGGTTTCCACTGTAATAACTGGACAGGTGCACAAAAAGAATGCGTAAATGTGACATCACAACATTGCAAAGAGCCTATAGATTAAACGATGGGTGCAAATGAAGAAAAATGTCTCTATTTTGTACTGTACATGTAAACTGAAACTAACATTCTGGTGGAGGGCAGCTGACAAATCTTTCCTGGTAACTATGGTAACTATAAAAGTCAACATTATAGTAATAGTTTATAGCTCATTTCTCTAATTCTTAGTCAAATCTGCAGGAAACGAAAACTGCCACAAAGTGTTTTTCCACATGGTCTCAAGGCCTGGAAGCGGTGACAATATTCAAATACGTGATGTTGGCATAAGACAAAATAATAAAATAAGGTTTGTGGATCTAATCACTATTGTCCTTTTACAACTTTTCTTGACCAATTCACTTCTTTCCCAGAGAGACACTGAGAAAGAGAGATACTGTACCAGAGAAAATCAACAGAACACAACCTCCATTTTTCCCCCAACCCCCAAGACACTCATGAATTATCTCCCAAATATTCTGTACAACACATCCATATAATTTCACAATGATACATTATGCACAGTAGTTTTGGAGGGTGCTTGAACATACACACTGGTCCCATAGTGTGCTCCTCCATCTGTCACCGAACAGCTCAGCTCACAGCAGTGCACTATTCAGACTCCGAAATATCACCATTTTGAAATAAGTATCTTTTGGCGCTGTGAGAGGCTTTTGAGAGTCGCTTTTTGCTTTTTCAATTAAAAAGAAAAAAAATATATAGCATGTTGTTGTGAATGGTAAATACAGTTTCAATAATGACACACCTTTTGGAAGTTTATACACAGAATTTTTCTTTTGTTAGTTCTTTGTCTTTTATTACATTTATGTGGAAAGAGGTTTGAAGAACCATAAACAAAACCAAATGGATGTGATTACCGTTTACATAAATTATTCAATACTATTTAGCTCGTTCCTACTGTGTCAACAACTAGTTTTCCACATGTTTTTTCTAAACTTTGGATCAAGAGATGTTTGAGGATCCATCTTTGCCTCAAGTCTGTGCCCAAATAGTGACTCACAGGGTTTCTCCCTAAGTATGTGGTCTGGTTTTGTTTTATATAAACATAAAAAAAATAACAACATAAACATCTTTTAATACTAATACTTGCATTAAATAATTTATTGTGATTTCAGCACAAATATTTTAGCAGCAAACCCAGGGAAAGTCAAAAAGCAAAACTTATTCAATATGAATGAAACCTCACTGTTGGAATTCTGGGCGTCTCTGCTTAGACTGCTGCCCCTGCGACCAGGCAACGGATGAAGCGGAAGAAAATGGATGGAATGGATGGATGAAACCCCGCTGTGCATTCAGGAGTATTATCAAATACAGTTGCATTAGTTAATATACCCCCTTGACCCTTGATCCATTTGAACCAACAAACTCACGATGACATTGTGAGTATGTTGATGTGATATTTATAGATTCAATTATAGACAAATTGTGTGGAACGTAAAAAGAGATTTCTGAATTCCGAAACAAACTTGTGTAACTACATTTTACAGTCTGGGATGGAGCTCATCGCACTTCCACACAGATACTTCAACACAGCGTGACTGCTCTGAACAAGAGGCTCAATTTGGAGGTAATTTTACATAACCTGCAGCAAACATCTGCACTCGGATTGAGTGGAAATAACCCACAGAGAAGAGAGAGGAGAGAGAGGTGAGAGAGGAGGGAGGGGTGAGAGAGAGAAGCGTGAGGTGAGACAGGAGTGAGAGAGGTAAGAGGAGAGAGAGAAGAGAGAGAAAAAAGAGAGAGAGAAGTGAAATAAATGAGGGAGAGATGTGTGAGAGTTGAGAGAGAAGTGAGAAGAGGGAGAGGGGAGAGAGGAGTGAAAGGAGAGAGAGGGGAGAGGACAGAGGAGTGAGAGGAAAGAGAGAGAAGTGAGAGGTGAGAAAGGATTGAGGAAAGAGGTGTGGGAGAAGTGAGAGAAATAAGAGGAGAAAGAGGAGTGAGAGAAGTGAGAGAAATAATAGGTGAGAGAAGTGAGAGAAATAAGAGGAGTGAGAGAAGAGAAATAAATTAGAGGAGAGAAAGGAGTGAGAGAAGATAATGGAGTGAAAGGACAGAGGAGTGAGAAAGGAGAGATAGGAGTGAGCGAAGAGAGAGGAGTGAAAGAGGAGAGAGATGAGGGAGAGGAGTGAGAGAAGATAGAGGACCGAGAAGACAGAGAGGAGTGGGAGAAGATAATTGAGTCAGAGAGGAGAGAGGACAGAGAGGGGGGAGAGGAGAGAGAGTGAGAGAGGAGAAATAGGAGTGAGAAAAGAAAGGAGTGAGAGATGAGAGAGACGAGTGAGAGAAGAAAGAGAAGTTCCACAGTGTGTGTAAGATCCATCCTTCTCTTCTTCAGAGTGTGGTCAGTGCAGGGTCAGCAGAGCAGGCACACACAACATCTGGACAAGAGCTTTCTGTGTCCTTCATCCACATGTGTGCGACATTACACAGACACACACTCTCACGTATACACACACACACACACACACACACACAAACGGATATTTAAGAAGCTTTTATTTGTGCCCGAATGCTTGTCATAGGGACTGCTTTATAACACAATGTAAATCCAGGTTATCAATGTAAGTCTTTTATGGAATCTGTACAGCAATATTCACTTGAAAAGGTCCATGCATTCATTCCAATCAATAGTTGGAAATTAAAAGTTACACTGTGATCTTTCTTCACTTTGGCTTACATCGTAAAAACGTTTGAGATACTAAAAATGTGAACAATGTGACATGCAAGTTGTTGCTCTACAATAATACAATATTCTCAGTGAAACATGAACAGGGACAGTTAACTTAATGACATTCAGCAGATGGTGGTGGCACCAACACTATGTTTATGGCAGTTTTTATGTGTTTTCTTCTTCATTTGAACATACAATAATTCAACCAAAGAAATGAGGTGGCAATAACTGCATGTTCAGTATTTAAGACACTGAGGGGCAGTTGGAGGCAGCACTGCTGTAGCCTCAGACACTTGGCAGTTTCACAAGCAGAGAAGCAGCTCTAAGCTGAGAGCGGAGAGATGCTGGGACGGTTTGATGATCAGAGACACGTGTGAGACTGTCTGAGGACATGTTCAGAAGGCTTTCATACATGTCTGTGTCTCTAGGGCCTCACCAGCGAGCCACCTGGCTTGTGTAGTCCTCTGTGGTGGCTCTTAAGTCCACTTCTTTGTCACTAGGTTTAGTCCCACCGCCTCGGCGCCTGAAGAACCACGGTCGGCCCTGCTCCCTCTGCTCTCGGAGCAGGCGTCTCTCTTCACGCCTCTTCAGGCGGCTCTCCTGGTGCTCCTTCTGCCGGTTGGACTGGAAACGCTGGAGGAACAGATCTTTGGCGTACTCGTACAGCTGCACATCCAGGAAGTTGAGTTCTTCGATGCGCCTGCGCACGCTCTCGCTCAGAGCGACGTTGGCGGCCCGCGTGCTGTTGATCTGAGTGAAGGCGGAGATGAAGCGCAGACTGAACGTCCGCTCAAACAGATACTGGGTCTTGCGCTGGAACTCGGTCAGGCCGTAGAAGGCCATGTTCTTCAGGTTGCTCATGGCGCTGCTGAGGAGGATCTGTCCACGCTGGCTCTCGTTCATGGAGGACAGGTTATAGCAGCCCACCAGGCTGAGGTCAGCCAGCATGCGCACCTGCCTGTTGTTGGCCAGGTTGGAGGGGCAGTTCATGAAGTCGCTGAGGGGGACTCCAGACCAGTCGTCTCCATTGTAGCAGTTTGGCAGCTCATCCTGTGTGGGTGAGCGGCCGTCACACATGTGCAGGGCGGTCTTCCAGGTGGCTCCTCTCTGGACGTGCTTCCACTCACTCAGGTAGCGGGAGACGGGGTCACGCAGCATGGTGATGTAATAGAAGTTCCTGCAACCAAAACAAACACAGTAAGAGAACTGTGAGCACGTCATAGTCACACAGAGGCTCCCTGCGTTGTGCTGGCAGATGGCTACGCTTGGATCGGTACAGGAGACTCAAGGTTGAATGGTAAGTGGCAAACAGAGTCTTTCTCATATATTTATAGTGTTTATATTGCTTTGGAATATTTAACAATTACATCATTACATTACATTACTTTACTTTTGCAAACCTGTAAGATTCCATACCACTCCTGCACCTGTCAGCAGTAAGAATAATTGGCAAAACACTCAAAATGATAATCTCTTGGTCAATAAATCGTAAGTGAATGTGACCCTTTAAAAACGACAATGTGTCACAGTTTACAAAATAATGAGGGTTGGGTGTGAGCGCTGCTACTGCCTCTAACTTTAAATGGGAATCTCAGACATCGTTTGTCTCTCAATCATCCACAAACAGTCCACACAGGCCTGGAAATGAGATTTTAAATCACACCACTGGCTTTACCCAGGCAGGGAGCACATCCACAGCCTCATGAGGGCAAGTCACCAACATGGAAAACAAACTCAGCTTCACTTCACTTTTATTAATCACTTTCTGCTCGGTCAACAACAGGGAACTCAGATTGTCCTTTGAAAAAATATCCAGATCTTTCTTTGCTATAGATGCATGATAAGGGGAAATTTCAGTGTTGCATCACCGGTTACAGAACAGTGGGAATGAAGAGCACACAGCAAAAGATAAGTAACAATAACTCTATACTAAAATAAGTAAAAAAATAAACATCATCATCATAAAATCAGAGCGACCTAAAGAACATGGCCTTCTATGGAAATAAATAAATAAATAAATAAAATAAAATAACATAACATATTATATAACATAACATAACCTCTCTTTACTTCTTTACCTTTCTTTTCTGACAGTTGCATTGAGCCAAAGCAATTGTTACTTACATGGCAATAAAAATGATTCTGATTCTGATTCTGATATAAAATCTCTAGCTCTAGCATAATAAAGAATCAAGAATAACATCTATAGCTTTAGCATAGGGCTGGACGATATGGCAAAAAAGTAAAATCTTGATTTTATTTCCTGCTTTGGACGATTTCGATTTTCGATTTTCATTAAAGTTTGCTCTTAAAAATATATTTTGATCTTTCCGCTCAATAATCAAGTTTCAAAACCATTTTTATTTTGTTTCCCCCAATATGTATTATAAAAGTCTTGTACAGACTGTGCTGATATTGCAAGTATGTGCAGCTGGAACTCTCACAATATTCTTCATTCGATTTCTCGATTTTCACATTTTTCACAAATTTGATTTTTTCAAAAGCCGATTAATTGCCTAAATTTGATTTATTGCCCAGCCCTACTTTAGCATAATAAAGAATCAATAATTAAGAATAAAATCTCTGACTGGCATTTAAACAAGTATAACATCTATAGCTTTATAATAATAAAGAATCAAATAAAACATCTATAGCTTTTATAATAATAAAGAAGCAAATAAAACATCTCTAGCTTTAGCATAATAAAGAAGCAAATAAAACATATCTAGCTTTAGCATAATAAAGAAGCAAATAAAACATCTATAGCTTTTATAATAATAAAGAAGCAAATAAAACATCTCTAGCTTTAGCATAATAAAGAAGCAAATAAAACATCTCTAGCTTTAGCATAATAAGCTAGCAAGCATAACCTCTTTAGCTTTGGCATAATAACGAATCAATTATAACTATACTACAAGGATACTGTATTTATAGTGTAAAAAATATACAATTGCATGAATCCATCTGTACATGTTAGCAGCATGAGGGTCTGGGACAAAGTGACTATGGGTAAAGTGACAGTGAACACACGTGGTTCCATATGGCACATTCTGACATGTTTACCACTTCTGTGTATGGAGAGTATCATATGGTCTTTCTCTTATAAGACACTCAAAGAAAGAATAGGCCACCCTCAGAGGAGATGGTCGCAGTGCCCTGAGGTCCAGTTCAAATGCATCGTGATGGAAAACAAGGATTGGACAGGCGTAGGGTAGGTAAACCTCTGCTAAGGTAATGTCATATGAATAATGAATGCCCCAGCGCCCTCAGGTGCAGTCTGGGCAGATAAAACACAGACGGAGGCTTCCCACACTGTAGCAGCCGTGTGCCAGAGCTCTGTGAGGGATTTCGAGGATGTCAACAGGCCACACGCTCGCTCTGCTCTCTATCTAATATTTAAAGCTTGGGTACAAAACTTTCAAACCCTTGATAATGAATCTATGTCATCAAATCGGTCTAATTTTGTCTCATGCGCTTTAAACAGTTCTGATATTGTTATCATTTTAAAATGTTTTTTTCTGGGGCCTCTGTCATGTCTTTAGAGTTTAGAACAACTTTGTAGATACATATTGAAATTGTAAATATACACATGGTGAAACTAGGGCAAATATTGTAGCTTGATTGTGTATTCATGTTTATATAATTGCATGTGTGAGTCTATAATGTAAGCCCAGAAGGCAAAATGTACAAAAGGTCATTTAAAGCAAACAATATAAATATTGTAAATACTTATTAACGTAAAATTTCAGCTTGAATGAATAAATCAATAAACTTTTCAGACAGAATAGTGGAAAAGAGCAGACCACCCTCACTCACCCAATCAGCTCTCTCAGACAAAGCGTCAAATAGTGACTCACAGGGCTATTCCATAATTTCAAGAATGCAAAATAAAAAATGTGATGAAGACCGCTTGTTGTGGCCTGATTTGTTCATAACATTTTACTTGTCAACCAATCATGTTCACAAGAAAAGTTTTTTACAAGATTTTTATTCTGTTGGAACAAAATACATGTAATTATTAATGTATGCTGTGTGCTCTTACTACGGTCCTGTGTGTGCGCTGCAACATTGAAATTTCCCCATTGTGGGACGAATAAAATGTAATGTTTATTTATATACCGCCTTTTCACTGCACATCGGAGTCTCAAAGCGGTTTACAATTGTGAATTTTGCTAGTGGGGTTGCCAGTACAGGAGGCACATGCCAGACCTATTGTACATATTTTTAGTGGTAGGGGAAACCGGAGCACCCGGAGGAAACCTACGCAGACACAGGGAGAACATGCAAACTCCACTCAGAAAGGCCCTGGTCCAACCGGGATTCGAACCCAGGACCTTCTTGCTGAGAGGCGAGAGTGCTATCCACTCAGCCACCGTGCCGCCTAAAAGATCGCTTATCTCTTATCTTGTCTTATTTCCTGTGTTTGAACCGTTTTATTCTTAAGCAGAAGACACAGACTCTACACAAACACACATCGAGTCGGGCCTCACAGTTCAACAAAACAAAAAGTAACCTATTGTAGCAGTTTTATGGTGGAGGGAATTGTTTGTTTATATTTTGTAATTGTATGTAGTTGCGTGTTACTTTTTCTTTTGTCCAGGACTCCCCTGAAAAAGAGGTTCTTATACTCAATGGGACTATTCGGTTTAAACAAAGGTAAATAAAACAAAATGAATCAACTGAATGAAACAATCCAACAAGTCGCTATAAATATATTGGCGATTGCAGGAGTGAGTGACAGGAGGCGGCGGTGTTGACAGTGTCAGCAGTGTTATCCAGGCCAGGAGGGGTGATTAGTGGCCCAGCTGCAGCCTGGCACTGGCACACGGAGCGGGCAGAAGGGGTGGAGGGGGGGTGGTGGGTGAGAGGAGAGAGGAGCTGCTTGTGTCTCCGTCCTCATTAGACATTGGGTGGGACCTGAAAACACGCCCGGTCCTCGGTCCTGTGAGAGAGCTCTCCGGGGCTCAGGGGTCAAAGTCTGAGCACCATCAGTGTCAGCCAGCGTCAGGATCAGCGGGTCAGGGCTGTCCACACACTTGTAAAAAAAGAGGCCCACTGGGGGAGGGGGAGGGGAGGTACTAGGGCTATAACAGCTTCTACGGTAGTGTCCGCACCTCTGGACGGGAGGCGCAGAGGAGCAGAACAGAACAAGGGTGTTGCCATTGTTTTGATATCTGCTGGGAAGACACATACCTCTTTGTGAACTCATACGAAACACGCAAATTGCGATTAAATTGTCAATTACCACAAAGCGCTTTATGTCTCGCACAGTTTGATCCTTCATTACACAACGCATGTACAGAGGAAGGAATCAAAGAACGTGTTTTGTTACAGACATTCACAAAACATATATTTATACATGTATTTTAAAGAACAAATCGTATACATTAATTGTCATTGTTTTGGCGTTTTTTTCAGTTGCGGTAACTTGCAATAACTAGCAAACAGTTCATCCATCTAAAAACGGAATGGTTCTATCACTGGTCTGTATTATTGGTTTTTATTGTTTTATTGAACTCATTTATTCACTCACTCATTCAGCACAAAGCCCAAAATAAAGACTCACAGGGTTCGTTCTTACAAGTAGGCAAAAGATTATACTTTCCAATATGGTCGAGACAGCATGGTGTGGTCTGATTTGGAATTTAGATTACCCCCTAATCCCTAATTAAGTGCTAATGAGTGTATAATTGATGTCTTATTATTTCTTAATTTGTATTTATTAAAGCACTTATCAATCCTTATTCTACATGGCCTTATTCAACATCTAACTAATTACGAACTGACATATTCCCATGTGGTAGCGGGTTAGGACTATAGGGCTAGGATTAGGGCAAGGGTTAGGATTTAGGTTAAGATTTGGGGTAGGTAATTAGTTGGTAATTAGTGAGGGCCAATCTAAAGTGTTACCCTGATTTCATACATTTTTCTGTTGGAACAAACAATACGTGCTATTTGTGAAAAAAGTATGGTACCCCAGACCCATTGACATGATCGTTAGAATATAGACTTTGACCTTCATCCTTTATATAGAAGTTATACTTGTTATACTTGTATAATTTCCACATTTCCATACAGTGTTAGAATTTGAGCAGCTGTCCTCCTGTGGACTCACCACCTGCAGAGGGTCAGTGAGGGGCTGGTGCTATGAGACTTGGGTGGCATCTCTGATTGCCACCCCCCTGACCCAGAAATGGATTAAAGGGTAGAAAATGGATGGATGGATGGATGGATGGATGTTAGAATTTGGAGATTTTATTCTGCTTTTAATAAAACATCTAATGCAGTTGTAGCTTCAGGAAGACTCTAAATTGATACTACTTTTGCTTTAAAACGGTATAGAAAACGGCTCCGTTTATAAGTAGATATTATATATTTAAAATGCATTGAGATGCTGCGATATCTTTGTGTTCTAAAACCACACATGTTTTAGAAGAGGGAACAGACAGTCTACTTTAGCGGTCAATTCAGTCATCATTTTCTAGAAACATTTCAAATTGATTTTGAGAAAATATACAATAATTGTGTGTGATATACTCTCATTACGTATGCGCAAACCCTTCAACATTCACCCCTTGAAGAAAACAATGCATCATTTTCTTTTTTGGATTTTTTAAGATGGAGGAGAACTAATAACACAAATAATCTGTTTTTGCTTTTTTTTAATATTATTATTAGAGGCCTTTATCAAATGGGCGAGATGCAATATGATGGTAAAAGTGCCTAAAACCAAGTGAGATGCCCCATTGAGGTGGAGTTCAGGAAACCTTTAAAGGGTTAATGTAAAATCCTGGTTTATAATAATATTAATAATGCATTTGTTTACATAGCTATATATTTTCTATAGAGGTCTCCCATCACAGTACTAACCATGACCCACACTGCTTAGCTTCAAAATTCTGACAAAAATCTGGCTTTCACATGCATGTATTACCCATAGCAATCACACATCAACAAAATGATATGATTTTTCTTTTGACTTTCTCTACCTGAGCGAGTCTGGATGCTGGATCCATGTGTTAGTCATAGATCAATACTACACACCACGCACACTCATCACAAACACACTTCATTGGAGCACAAACTAAATAGATGCCATTAAAGATGATGGAGGAGAGATTGAAAAGTATGAATAAAAATGGAAAGTTAAGTATGGGGAAACGATGAGCGGAACAGAGGAGGCTGAGCCGACAGCACTCGCTCTTAGTTCAATTTAGACGGCAGGCGCTAATGGAGAGGCAGAAATATTGACACACGCGGGGTGCATAAAAACATGATATATCCACGAGAGGGAGTGTAATTCTCTAACAAGGAAAACAAGCCGTTTAAATAGAAAATGCATTCATTTAGAAGTGAATTGTTGTGTTGAACAGGCAGTGATGGAAGATGTACGCCTCCTCATGTCAACTAATGCAGTTCCAAAAGAGAGGCTGCAACTATCACCTGGAAATACGCCTCAAATAACATGATATTATCATGTTATTATCATCATTATCTCAAAAAGTACAAACAAACTGTCAGAAAGAAGCTTCTTTTAACAAAATGTACTATTTTCACGCAATGGATAAAGTGAGGCGTGGGGCCCCCTGGGGAGCCAGAGGCATAGTAGGGCCCTCTCCCCCCAACGTCCACACAACTAGAAATTAGTTTTTTTTAGCAAATTACACATTACTGCCTTTGTACTTTTACAATATTGTATTTCAATATAATCGAGTATAAACCTAAAGATAAAATTGTTACATTTATTCAGAATGATTGATTAGTAAGAACGGCTGAATGATTATATATATACATATATATATATATATATATATATATATATATATATATAATATTGAATTTTCAAGATATAATATTATAACGAGATGTATTGTAAAACTTTTTACAGTTCTAATTCTACTAATACCTATTATAGGCCATTTTATAACATAACAATTACCGGTAATCTTCAGTAAATTATATATGAATGCATCAATAGATAATGGCCCAGAAGCCTATATTTTTTTACTGAATTGTACTGTATTGTTTGGAAACTTATCGTATTGATTCATATCAAATTGAAAGTCTCCTGTATCAAATGCATATCATATCCCCGACAGGAGGCTCTGAACGAAACCCAGCCTCTTGTAACTGTCTGACCTTTGTGAGTATCTCTCTCCGCCTTTAAAAACTGTCAAAAATATGCAAGTACATTTCTGGACCAAGTGTTTGGCCTTTAGAAGTTCAACAGACAGCAACATAAACACTGTTCATCATTTAGTCCTTCTGGCCGAGTGCACTGCCTTCAACAGGATTAATTGTCCATAATTATCATCAGCGAGTCTTTGGCGCGCACACGTGTTTGATTACAGGCTGCAGAGGCTCTGGACGCTCAGATGCGTGGGAGAAGCTGGTAGTCGGATGCCGCGGGGTGGTCTGCACTACGGGGACATGGAAACACAATCAGACAGGCCGAGATGGGCAGAGAGCTCTTCTAACAACAGTAAATAAGTAAAACCATACAGGTCCCATATCAACAGTGGCAGTGGCGCAGGGCTGTGTGTGAGAGGATGAGAAGTGAGGTGTATTCTTTAGAGTTGGGAACTATTTTTACTACTGTGTGCACTAGGCTTCAGAAACTTGACATTAATGATACACATTTCAAGAGAAAACCTGCTGCTTGTGGATGTTTGTTGGGATTGCTGCTTTATTGACGCTGTGTTGTGGTATAGGCCTATCTATTCCAGCTGAAGGATCAGATTTTAGGGTGGGAAGAAAGGTTTGAAAATGTATTTATTACAGAATGTAGAATGCATGCCTTATGAGGTCTTTTGTTTGTTTGTTTTCCTGTTGAAGATACATAAAAAAAAGTTGATTGGATTGAAGGAGAATATGTATGTAATCGTATCATACAGAACTGCGACTCAAAACAAAGGCAGTGTGACAAAACAAATCACAAGAAGACATAGAAGAGTAAGGGGTTGCTGGCTGTGTTCCATTTACAGGTAAACAGAGTATAGAAGACAAGTGTTTTAGGAATTCAAATAGTAATGCAGCTATAGTGATAATTTAGAACGAAACACGACCACTCCGCCCAGCCTCAATCATTGTGCAAGCTCCCTCTACATATTGCCCCCTGCCTGCACCATCAGCCTGACCACCCAACTTCTCAACATCTGGATATGGATCCCAGGAGCTGCACTGCCTGCACAATTCATTGCAGAATGGGTAAAATGCAGAGGACAAATCTCCCTATAAAAGCAGGGGAATCCAAAGACACTATTCATAATTCACATTGTCATTGCACAATCCCATTATTCACTAGTATTGACCCATGGTGGTCCACTACTGCAGCAGCTATAGCTGTCCCGGGGCAAATTGATAGACGCAAGAATGCCAATCTGAGCCATCACCCCTCTGACCACCTCCAATCATCCATGCACACATATATGCACTCGCACATTCATACACAATGTGAACAAAGTATGTGCCTCACACTCTTGCCCACAACACTTTAGCACTTTAGAGCCGCAGTCGCCCCACTGGCACCTGGTGTTCCCAGCAGTCTCCAATCACTAACTTGCTTTTGAGATCAGATAGAATCAGACTTTTATTCAAATTTCAAGCCACATTTGTGTGATAAAATACCATAATAAATTCCATGGGCTTCCTTAAAGCAACTTCTGAATACTAAATCATCACTAAATTATTAATGCTATATCACATGTTTTTGTGCATTTACAACCCCAAAGATACAAATTGTTTATGTGCAGTTTACACGGAGACGCTGCAACAGTCCCATAGGTATCGGATTGGCCTTTTGTTTACACTGGACGCTGTTTCAGGGGGATAAAAATGTAAGCGTTGAGAAACACCCTCCAGAGTGGAATAGAACAGATACGCTGCTCAGCGGGGGCTGTTTCATGGCTGTGTGAAGAAAAAGGTGTGAATTCTCTGCCTGCTATGACCCCACCACTTCCCTGCGCGTAAATTTGGACACAAACAGCGACGGGTCAACTAATGCTATGCGCAATCGAGCGGTACACAGAGCAGAATTCTCCTCTTTCATTTGTACATACATAAAGCGAACGTATCTTACAAACAATAGACAAGGCAAGGTCACCAAGCCAACTAGATTTGGAGCTTAAAAATGAGTCTTCAGTAATGGTAAACACGACAACTCGACATATCAACAGAGTTGTGGCAAAAGAT